GAGAGGCCTGATAGAGCTCGAAACTGGCCTCATGTGTGGGGATGCTGTTGGATCTGGTCATCCGAGGTGTTCCTGAGGTGGAGGTGGGACTCACTGCACATTACACACAGCAGAGGGAGACAGAGCTCATGAGTCACGGGAAGAAAACACTTGCATCGTGCAGTTATTTCAGTCGGTTGTTCAACAAGGGATGAAAGGAAGAAAACCGTCGTAGGTGGCGGTAGTAGTAGTAGTAGTAGTAGTAGAAGAATAAGAATGATAGTATAGTAGTAGTAGTAATATGACGACTAGCAAAGACAACCTCAGTAGTAGTAGTAGTAGTAGTAGTATTATAATAATAATAATAATAATATTGTATTATTATTATTATTATTAATAACAACAACAACAACAATAATAATAATAATAATAATAATAATAATAATAATAATAATAATAATAATAATAATAATAATTATTATTATTATTATTATTATTAACAACAACAAAAACAAAAACAACACCAACAACACCACTAATAATAATAAGATTATTATTATTATTATTATTATTATTATTATTATTATTATTATTATTATTATTATTTTTATTGGTGTTGTTGTTGTTAATAATAATAATAATAATAATACAATTTTATAATTATTTTTAGTAAATTACTACTACTACTACTACTACTAATAATAATAATAATACAAATAATAATAATATTAATAATAATAATAATAATCAATTATTATAATAATTATTTGTGAATTAATAATAATATTAATAACAATTATTATTGTTATTATTATTATTATTATTATAATTATTATTATTATTATTACTATCATCATAATTATCAATATTATTAATGCACTAATAAATATTATAATACTTGAATATTATTATTATTAACAACACCACCAATAATAATAATAATGATAACAATAATGATAATATTAATAATAATAATAATAATAATAATAATAATAATATAAAATTACAACATTTTATTTATTGTTAAATTAAATGTTCGTATGACATTTCTGCTGTATTTGAATATTTTATTTTACATGTTATTTTATAAAATTATTTATAAAAATTTATAAAATTTTACCATAATATTTAACTTATATCATATGCACATAAAAGTCTGTAGGAAAATTCATATCCGGCTATAGTTTTTACTATCTATACTCATTTTATTTAAATTAGTTTTAGTTATTTTAATAAATCAAGATTATTTTTGACCCCCTTCTTATCTCCTTAGTTGTCTTTTTTTATACTTTTTAGCAATGCAATTTTAAAATAAGACTAATTTGGTTGTTTTAAAAATAAACCTTTTAAAACCTTTTTAAAATCTTGAACTATTTATGAGCAAAATTTGTACAGCATCAATTAATCACATCTCAACATTTAATAATGCAATATAAACATCCAAATGCATGCTTGTTACGTTAGTGAGATAACGTAAATTAACAATGAGCAACTGTATTTTCATCAACTAACTTGAACAAATACTGTAATAACAGATTGTTCATCGTTTGATCATGTAAATGCATTAACTAACATGCACTAATACCACCTTATTGCAAAGTGTTTCCGTATTTTTAAATCTGTGTCAGAGAATGAGAGGTATTGCAGACACTCACTGATGTTTGTCAGGGGTAATTTTCCTGTCAGTGATGGTAAAGGATACTGTGGTGGACTGCTGGCCTCAGTCGAGCTCATGATGGTGTGTGAGTGTCGTCTCTCTTTACTGTCCTCCTCTGCCTGCGACAGGAGCTGTTGACTGATGCAAGATAAAGATAAGACATTACTTTACTGCATCAGATCAAACCATCTACACATCAGGAGAAAAAAAAACAAAAAACACTATCGTGAGGTTCAATAAGAAGTACCTTAAGCCTTTCTTTGGGAGAGTATTTCTGTCCTTTTGTGAGCTAAAAGGAAAGAGAGAAAAAGTGCATTATTCAAATGACAGGACATTTCTACATGAAGAAGAAGAAAACTAAAAATAGAGTGGTGCAATCTGTAGAGCTAAATGAGCAATTAGCAGTTCAGTCTGGGGGATTATTAGGGGATATTTAATCAGTGTTTTAAGATAATAGACAATTGTTCTGCTTTGAGTTTTGCATGGCTGTAAAGTGAGTTATGAATGTGCTTAAACATGCACTAATGTTGCCTTTACTTAAAGGGTCCTGACACCCCCCACTTTTGGTTCAGGTCTACCTTAGAATTTTTTCAAAAGATGCATGATAATGGGCGTGGAAATCCGCGAGCAGAGCAGGAGTGGGCGTGGCCAGCAGGGGAGAAAGAGGGGAGCGAACAACTGTTATCAGCTTACAAAATGAGACACAAACCGTGAGGAGACGCATGATTTTATAGTTTAGAAAGTTGAAATGCAAAGAAATAAACAGTAATTTAATTTCCTGCTACATTTGTCATTATATATATATATATATATATATATATATATATATATATATATATATATATATATATATATATATATATA